AGATTAAGTTCCGCCCCGTTAAAAAGCGTGGGGACAAGAGGAGCCGTTTCCACGCGCTTTTGGGGGGGGGGGGGCGGAGAAGGGGGGGGGATTGAGGCGGTGGTGGCGGTGTCGTCCGTTGTCAGCAGTTCTCATCGCTCTTTGCCGTGGCGGCCCTGGAAAAAAAACGCTGAACCGAGCTGCTCGAAACCGACATGACGTTGGGACGAAAAAGGCAACTAGGAAGAACAGACGTACCCGGCGAGGCTTTGATGCCAAAATACAAGGAGGCGTCCGTTGTCGCCGGGGACAGACCAAGAGGGTGGAGAGGTGTGCGTGTGTGTGACGCAGAAAGTATTGCCCGAGGCTGCAAAGCAACGAGACTGTCGGCTTCGCGCCGTCCACCTTGGAAGTTCCACCTGCCCCACCCCAAGCACCACAACTGGACCCAGAGACAAAGGGAACCCACACAATTGGACACGAAGCAACACCCAGAGCCCCGGGCGCACGCCGAGAAGCTAGCCAGCACACACCCACAGAGATAGGCCCAAAACACACAGACGCAACGCACGCACGCACGCACGCACGCACGCACGCACGCACACACGCACACACCTTCGGTCGGTTGCCGCTACCGATGCTGCTGTAGCCGCTTCCGCGTCGTCTTGGTGGTGGTTTCTGGCCATTGTCCGTCTTCTTCGAGCTGTCCTCTTCGCCCCCCTGCGGTAAACACAACCCGCTCCCTGCTGGTGCTTCCGCAGCCGTTTTCCCCTCTGCTCCCTCCTCGTCCCATGCCCCCCTGGTTTCGAGGATCGTCATGACCTTCGGCACCAGCCCCACGACCGCGAGGCTCTCTAGGGCTTTCAGGTTGTCCTCGACGATCTTTATTTCGTGAGTAGGGGTTCGCCACAAAAACAAAAAATATGACGGGCACGGGAGCAACGGGGGGTTAACAGAGAAGGAAGCGCTGGGGTGTCTGGCTAGGATGACATCCGATCACCGTCGTTGGTGGTGGTGGTGGTGGTGGTGATATTGGTTGTCCTGTCGAGTTGCTTGTGTTTCTCTCAAGCCCGAGACTAGACCAACCAAAAAGTCTCACTAACCTTGTTGATGACCGCCAGGACGTTGGCCATGGCTTCCTCCCCCTGCCGGTCCTCGGGCTTCATCGCCTGCATCAGATACATCAGCGGGGTCACCCCCCTGGCAAGAAAACACACAAAACAAAAAACAACGAAGAAAACGGCGAGGGGGGTTCTCTCATTATGTTGAGTGGCAAAAAGCAGAAGGCGGGGGAGGGGGGAGATATAGAAAGAAGAGATGGAGAGGACTGGTGGGAAGGCCGCCTTCCACTGCCGGGTGCTCTCTAGTTGTTGACACTACGTGTTCCATCTGAGGAGGAGGAGGAGGAGGAGGAGGAAGAAGCGGCGGATTCATGACTATTTGGGGACGCTGGGACGGGCAGATCAGAGCGCACCCCAGGTGCAGGTATGGTGATGAGGGCTTGATAGCAGCGGACTATCGCAGCAGCCGCAGCAGCTTGGTGGAGTCAAGCGCTTCGCGAGGGACGGATGCTAGCTACAGCAACGAATAGATGGCTGCTCAACGACGACAACAGCACTGACAGCAGGAAAACAGCACCCAACACCACCACCACCACCACCACCAGGGACAGCCAGCAAACGCCGTCTACGACAAACAAACACACCACGGGGGCACCAGGTTACCTCTCGCCTCTCGCCTTAAATCTATTCCGCGTGCACTGCGCACAAAACAATAACTGCGCCTTTCGAGCACTACGTGTGTAGCCAACAAAGAGAGAAACAACGTGTCCATCTCCCCCCCCCACCCACCCCCCACTCTCTCTCCCTGCTTCCCTCTCCCCCCCTCTCACCGGTCGGCCGACATGACGTAGTGCCGCGCCTGCGGGCACCCCTCCAGCCTCTCGCACACCGAAACGCACGTCCGCACCACCTCCTCCTCCATCGTTACCTCCTCCTCTTCATCTATTTCCTCTACCTCCGTCACCGTGCCCAGCAAACGCCCGGTGGAAACCCCGCCGGTGGCGTTACCACTCACGGCGGCGGTTCCGCCGCCACCCCGACCCTTCTGCTGCCCGTCGCCAGACCGCAGGTTGCCGCTGTTGTTGCCGGCCACGGAGCCTCTCGTCTCCAGCCTGGAAAGCTCAGCGAAGACTTCTTGTCCCACCTGGACGTGAGAGACAACGCGAAAGAGCGAGACGTGGGCGACAGAGAGGGGGGGGGGAGGAAGAGGGAGAGAGAGAGGAAGAGACAGGAAGAGAGAGAAAGGCAGCGAGGCAGGCACGGAGAAAGGGGGCAGACAGAGAGAGAGGTCATCTTCCGATTGCTGTACAGTATGAAAGGAAACACATGCAACAACTCCCTGCTGACATAGCGCCGTGGCCAAAAAGAGGGTTCCCACTTCCCAAAGCACCAGAACCAAACCAAGGGGCAGCCATAGCCAAAACTTCATCGCCAAGCACGGGCAATATCACTTTCTTTTTCGCACGACAGCACTGATACCTTCGCACCATGAGTACATTCCGTGATTCCGAACGTCAAATCAAAAACTATCACTTTTGAGTAGTCTTACCTACAGTAGCCCATACGACGACAAAAACGACTAAAAAAAACAAAAAAACTAGAGCTATCTTCATACCTTGGCGTGCATCTCTCGCTCGGCCTCCTTGCCGTTGCTCCCCTCCTCCCCGTCCGAGAGGTCCTCGAACCCCGTACCGAAAAGGTCATCGAAGTCGTCGAAAGCGCCGGCGGCGGAGCCAGAGGCCTCGTCCGTCGCCGCCTGGCTGACGCCGCTTGCGGGAGCCGCCGAGCCGCCCTGAACACGGACGAAACACAAAGGAGTGGGCCGGCCGGCTCTCGGCAGTGAGACACGCGGGTAACGATTGCATTGCGTCTGGGTCCGACGAAGCTTAAGAGGAGTTGTTTCCGCACGAGAACACCACCCGTCCCTCCGGCTACAGTACAGCTTTTGTACGTTCCAGCGACGGATGTGCATGGGATTGACTACATCTGTCAAAAGGCATGCCACGATTTTTATCCATAGCACGCGTCAGGCAAGGGGGGGGAGGGGGGGGGGGTGCGCGCGAGAAAGCGAGAGAGAGACGAAAGAGAGGGAGAAAC